TAATCCAAACTAACGTAAAAAGCGATGGGGTGGTACCCCAACGTGACGTACGGTGGAGGCTCTGTGGAGGTGGCCAAAGCCGTACGTGACATTTGGAGGAGACACCTACCCATTCGTGATAATATTCCCATCCCAACTTCCTTGATATCGATGCTACATCTCTCGAATATCTTGGTTCAACTGTTCCTCTTCCTCTTCACTATAATCTGTGGCGTTCCTTACTAGATTTTAAATAGGGAACGCCATGCCGGTTGCTCAGTCAGGATCGTGAATAAGTTTAGTTTGCTTTCATTATAGTTAAGATATATTTTTTTTAGATAGATGTTAAATATTATATTACAAAATTAAAAAAAAAGGTTTTTGAGAAATTAAATAAGCTACCTGTGGGCGCGAGCCGATAATATCGACAGAAAGGGAAATAAGTAAGGTAAAACACTTTATATCATATTTAACAACATAAAATTTAACTGTTAGATGGTTTACAAAAAAATATACTATCGATTTTATATTCCTATAAAGAGATTCCATTTTGAAAATCATAAAGTTTATAAAGAAATGACTAGGTATATTTTGACACTATTAATTTTTAGTATTTAATTTAATTTAAATCTAATATCGTTACTAAATATCGAATATTTTTGATAAGTATTTTCTGCACTACTGAGGAATTTTCCAGTCATAACCCATATGAAAATAGTTCTCCTTTCATATGCAAAATTCACGTTGTTATTATTTGCCAAGGAGAAAAATATCATTCCTGTTGTGTTCTGCGTTTTTACATAGCTTGTAAATATACACAGCAGGGGAAGTTCAAAAACACCAGTAGATGTGAAATATTGCATTAATATCTTGTGTAAAAAGCTATTGAAATTTTGTTTTACCAAAAATACCATTGGGTTGTGTTACAGATTATCTAATTTCGGTTTTATCTTCAGGATGTAACGACCCCTTTTTTACATTTATTTCAAATTTAGTTTTATAAAAAAGCAAGCCAGTTATTTTAAAACTTACCCAGCTAGCAAGCAAGAGATCCTCCAAATTTATATATCCCAGGGATGAGCTTTAACCTTTCCACCAATTTAGCTTGGATTGCTTAGATGTATATTTATATATACAGGGTTTTGAGTTGGGCACCACCAGTTTTTTATATTTTAAGAATAGGTACTTGATCAAAAAAAACTACATTAAACAAAATACATATCTATTCAATAAAAACTGGAAAAAATGAATATAAATTCGTTTACAAAACAGAATGCACAGTAATTAAAATGAATGACCGACCACACGTCAGTGCACTTATATAAAAAGGAAACAGTATTAGCTATAATAAAAATTTCGGGTTAATCAAATATTACAGTAAGCCAAAAGACAATAATTGGTAACCATTTGGTTACAAAACAAATAAAACAATATACTACATCAAAGGTCAAATCAACATAACGCTATTTAACCTAAATAACACAGGTTCAAACGGGAGTTCACTCAATGCACGGAATGTATTAATTGTCAGATAGGGGTTGGCAATATTAAGTTAATCACTTACGTACGGTAATTGCTAAGGTCCTACTGGACTGGTCCAAAAAACACCATAATATAAGTTGCTCAAAACACCGCATTCCCTAAAAGAAAATACACCGCGGTCACTAACTGCTCAATAGCCTCTTCTCTATACCAAAGGTAATCCTCCAATGGGATCCATAAAAAACGCCATACAATAAATTGGTCAAACACCGCATTCCATAAGGCAAAATACTCCGCGTTACTAACTACTCAATAGCATTTTCTCTATACGAAGACACTAATTGCTTTATGCAGCGCACACCTACGTCTGCTCTGTATCATTGATTCTCCTGGACTCTTCGATCATCGATCGTCCCACTGGCTAGACCCTTGAGCCCCCCGCGCACTGTGTGTTTTTATCCAATTACAGGGCTACCCGTTACGCAAACTTTCGCGGAAACAGACAAGGTCACGCTCGATTAGTTTCTACTACCTTTTAAATTTAAATTTACATAAGGCACAAAATACAAAGAATCTCTTTTTAACATCAGAGACTATATTTATTTTCCCATATTATTTAGCAGATGCATTTTTATTGAGTCTTTTCGACTCGCGTCCAACCTTTGACTTTCCTAATATAATAATTTAAGCTTGCAGGGCCGTATTATCAAATTTTTAAATTAAATAAGCACTCACTTACTGCGACCGCAAGTGGTTTACTCGCTAAAAATAGGACTTTCAATTAGGCCAAAAAAGTGGACCGTTACAAGGACTATCTTAAAACCAGGCTCAATGAGATGAATATTTTGGTACTGCCTTTGAGTGATAATGTAATAGACTGCTAAACGTAAAAAGTAGGTAAAAGTAAAAAGCCGAAAAAAATATATGACCTATTGTAACAGCAGAAAATTTACATTACTAAAAAATATAGAACTAATTCTATTTATTCTGAAAGTTACCTTAGTTATTATTAGGCCTTTTCACAATATCAGCTTCAAAAAATGCCACTTTCTGGGAAGAACAAAAACTTTTCCAGAACAGCGGCGTGTTTTAAACTTGACACCTCTATTTCTATTACAAAATACACAGGTACTTAAATTTACTTCTAATTTTAATTAAAATTTATTGCTTGACACAGGTAAATGTTAATTACTCTACGCTAGGCATCTCACACTCTGCCTTCTTTATTTCTTTTTTACCCTCCTTTTAAAATAACCGCGGACAAAAAAAATTTCGCTTGTTATATTATTTACAGCTCTTTAGTTTCCTATTTAAAATAGGTATATTAATGTTTGCAAGGTATAGGCAAACTAATATATACCATACGTGTATATTAATCAGCGTAGTAATTATTAATTTGTCATGAGGAGCTTATTTGTAACTTATACAGGGTACGCGCAAATGTAAACCGTTACAAATCTCCTAGATTTTCAGAAAAAAAATTATATGAGGGTGCAAGAAGTGCAATTTTAGGTTCATTAGGAAACCCATGCCCTCTAAATTTTTAAGAATTTAGGTTCTCTAAATTCTTAAGAATTTAAATAATGCATTCTTGCATTCTCATTTAAATTTCTTCCTTGAAAATCTAGGAGATTATAGTGAAGAGTAAGGAGAATTGTTTCACCAAGACATTCGAGAGATAGAGCATCGATATCAAGGAATGGGATGAGAATATGATAACAGACTACTGTTGGATTTTGAAACGGGATATACCAGAAGAAGTATGTCATTACACAGGACTTTCGAAAGTAAGAGAGTATGCTACAATAGAAGATCGTAACTGAATTTATAACGATTTCTTTTTTTTTTTTTTTTTTTTGGTTATGTAAAAATTCTAACATGATGGGTCAATGCTGACATCAGATTTGGTTTCAGCGCCCCAAAATACATGTAGGTAAAGTGGTTGGCTCGTTTAGGATATAAAATTATTTTTAACCTCAGTTTTGGCTGGTTTTTACCTGTTTTTTGAGGTTATGTAAAAATTCTAACGTGATGGGTCAATGCTAACCATGGATTCGATTTCAGCACCCCAAAATACTAATAAACAAAGTGGTTACCTCGTTTAGACTTTTAATTTATTTTTTAGCCTTAGTTTTAGCTACTTTTTACCTGTTTTTGGAGATTATGTCAAAATGCTGATGTGATGGGTCAATTTTCACCTTGAATTGATTGCAGCGCCCCAAAATACGTAGTCTGTTGGGTAGTGCAAGACTTTTAGTTTTGTGTGGTTGTGTAATTAAAACACATTTCATTTAATTTTTTATGACATTCATTGTTAATAACTTCTTAATGAGTTTGTTGTAAAATACTGAAATTAATTTTTCAGGTATTTTTATATAAACATTATAAAAATAGTTCTTGCTCTCTTTTTTTTATTTTATCGAAATTCTAATAACTGATTTAATATTTTTAAAATGAGTAAAATCCATTATTCTTTTGGCATTTTTGTGTGAGACTAAAAACAATTGTACTTTACTTTTATATTTTTTGGACACGACATATACACAAAAATATATTTGTGATAATTGGTAAAATTCTCACATAATTTGCTAATTCATAATGTATATTTTTTGTGTAGAATATAATTATTATGACGATGGATGCAAATAAATAAAAATCTGCATAATTAAAACAGCAATTTTAAATTTTTTTCATCAGGGAAATTTTAGATTATTCTTTGAATACCAAATCTGAATATTTGTTTTAATGATCAAATGTAAAATTTATTAAATCGATTCATAAAGCGTTGGCAGCTATTTTTGCAGACGCTCTTACAAAGGTGTGGATTTATTAAAAATGGTAAAATATAAATCCCATAATTTAACTCAAATCTGCAAAGTGTAAAAGGTGACTGGTCTTTCATAAACTTCACTACCTTGAAAAGTACACTTATTGTAATATACTTCAAGATTTTAATATTATTTTGTAACAAAAAAAGTTACCTAAAATCAAAAAATGTTAATATACACACTTAAAGGGACATTCAGCCTGTTTAACTGTTTATTTAATCTTTTAAAAATTTATTTTTCGACGATCTTGTATGAATATTGGTTCTAATAAAACTCGAATGTTACAAAATATGTCTAGTAATGAAGATGTTGCCTCTGGTAGTGAATATGTTCCATCAAGTAATGAAGAAAAAACAATAATAAATGTGAAATTGCTGAGAAAATTTTTGAAAAAGTTTCAATTTTTTGAAAATTTTTGAAAAACTTGTAAAAGTTACCAGACATAATAAATGATTACCTTGAAAATAAATTATCTATCATGGCCACAATGATGCCATTTTGTAGAAAAAAGGCAATGTTGGAAACAAAATTCTTGATCTAGAAGAGAAAGTTTCTAGAAAATGGCTACGAAATCCACACCAGTGGAAATAAGATCAGCAATTGTAAGACACAGAGGAGAAGAATATCCTTCCCAAAATGTAAAACTTATGCTGAAACCAAGATAGAACAGGGAGTGTTTTGCAAGGAAAATACAGACTGAAGTGCAGTGAAAGCTCCTCGATCGGGGATCAAACCCGGGACTCTAGGGTGAGAGGCAAGTGTCTATACCATTCGACCACGAAGACACATTATAATGTACATTAAATAATGCGAGGACAAAAAATTTTGCGACAATTTAATGGTGAAACTTTTCTCATATGTTAATATTTTATCCACGAAGTTAAACTTTTCTTTTGGGCATCCGAAAAACGATACTGGACAAAATATTAATTATCAGACAGAAAATTACACAGTAGGTTTTGAGTGTCATCGACGAGTAGAGAAAAGCCTTTTATTGATAAAAATAAATGTTTTATAACTCCAGATTTACAGATTTAAATAATGTGGCAAACAGAGCAAGTTGTTTGTATAGGTTTCGCTCGTGCTCAAAGATAGCCATCTTGTAATTTGGTCGGAATCATGAGCCGGCGAAAATAAAGATTTTAACATTCTTTGTCTCTAACTTCTAATTTTGAATGGACAAGGTTATTGATCACAAATTCCCGGAGGTTGGTCATAGTCATCTAGATTACAACAGAGATTTTAGTCGGATTGAAAATATTTACCATAACCTAAAAAATTTGCAAGCCCAAAAAACAACTTTATGTGTGTTGATACGAAATTTACTTTTATAAAGAGCTTTCAGTAAGATTAAACTTGTTCAATAAAAAAAAGGAATACTCTGGAAGAAAAAGTAAATTTGAGAGACTATATTAGACGAATTAGGGTTGAGTAGTACAGACACTATTTATACAAAGAAAGCCTCGATGAGTATGCACTATTTGTGAGTGTGGACTTGTTAAAGAATTAAAGCTGAGAAGGTCAGAAGGAAGAAATTACTCCTAACAGATTTAAAGAAGAAAGAGGAGGACTATTGGAAAACTTACATGAACAACTGAAATTCACAAAAGAATAATACAAATGAAGAAATATTTGAACAAAAAGAAAATCCAAAGAAAAAAGAGGAAATTAATTAGTTTTAAGGATAAAGTTGTTTTATATTAATTTTTAATATTAAAATAAAACATATTTGGAATCATAACATATTTTTCAATCTTGCTGATTTCCCTGCATAAGAATGTCATGCGTATTTATTTATTAATTTTTTTTATGCAAATAATAAAGTTGCAGAAATATCTATAATGGTAACCAATAGTACGCGAATCAACCTTCTAAACTATTATTTGTTTTTTGATAAAACAAAATAAATAAAAAATTCTAAATCAATGTTTTTAATTAAAATTTACACAAAATAATGATTTTGGAACATGACACTCATTTGTGTTCACAATTCGTATTATGTCATGACAATAACTACATGTTAATTCTATTTAAAAATATAATACAAAAATAAAAGTAAAATAAATAATGCTATAACAAATGACTAATTTTTGACTGGAATAATAATTGTAAGACTTCTGAGGAACGCCAAAAACTTCTAAGAATTTCCAAGGTAATTCCTGAGAATTTCATAGAATTCAATGGAATTCTAAGGAATTGCATATGCTTGTACACCAAACTTCCATATAGGTTTACCCTTGCAATTTTCTACTTTATTTGTTTTTTTTTTTTAATTTTTGTATATATAGTTCCCTTATATACTTTAAACGATTTACTGTTGAATATTTGGGTTGAATATCACGTTATACTGATAGTTGAAACAGAGCTTGCCCATGCTTTCACAGTCACATTATGTACAAGAAGTGGTGACCAAAAATAAGATCCGACTTTCCAGTCTTTGATAAATTAACACTGCTAAGATGTTCACGTTAGGAAGAAGATATTTTGTTACCTCATACAACAATAATCATGACAGGTATACTTGCACATGAGCGGTCAGAATGTTGAAGCTTATTTATTAAGTTTATTCTTCATTTCTCCGGTTAGACAACTGCTGTGTGCTTTTTACGTCTCATTTTCCATTCAAAGATAAAAAAAATATTTTCTTGTAACTTGGAGTGTATTAAAAACATTGGAGTTACTTAATTTGTGACCTTATTCATTTTAGATATAGGACAATTTGGAAAGTAGAGGAATAATGGATCATTAAGGACCTAGTAAGATCAACCATAACCTCATCCGTAACCAATGCTAGTACAAAAATATCTTAAACGGAGTAAACAGAGGCATGGATGAAGATATTTATATCAATTTACTTATGACAACATCATATACATTGAAAAGAGTATATTTAGAAAAGTACAGAAGGTATCCTCCATTCCTCGATGAATTGGCAGCGACGACGTGATGACGCGGCGTCTCATCTGAACAGTTTTTATCAAATATGTTTAACTTTTTGTCTTTGAATGTTTTGGGGAAACGTCAACACAGTCGACATGGTCCATTATACTATATATATTAGCCATACTTTTAGTGCTGTGAAACAATTTTAACGTCAATAGATCCTATTGACAAAGCTGCACATATTTGTTTTCGTTAGGACGACGATATAGTAAATCACAGAAAAGAAATTGGGTATATTTTATTTATATCCTCTGCTCGAACGGAGATGACTATTCATAAAAGTAATTTAAAAAGTTCTTCAAGAAATAAAAATTAATTAAGATTTGTTCTATGCCACATCTTATAGCCGCTATATATGGGTGTCCCAAAAGTAATCTGCCATACTTCGAGATATGATACATAAACAACACATAAAAATAACATAATTTTATTATATAAACTTCTCCCAAAAGATGAACTGTTACCGAGTAATAACCAAGCCTTTGCTCTGTCCTGGAAATATTTGGAAAAATGTAATTTCATTGAGTTATCTTTATGACTTGATGGAATTACATTTTTCTGAATATTTCCAGAACCACTGATCAAGTACTCACAAATTTAAGGTGTGTGCATAGGAAATACTATAATATGAGTGCATGAAACACCAATATTACAGTTGTGAGATGTTTCGCTTTATTATCTTGTTTTTGTTTTCCTTTGTTTGTTTTGCTAATTAAACAATTTTCAATGTATCAAATATTTTTTAAAAGTATCAGATATAACGCCTCTACTTCGACCCATATATGTTGGATAAATGTAGATGACACGAAAAAAAAATAATGAAACAAAAACAGCCTAAAAAAAGAAATATTTTTGATTTCGCGGTTTAAAAAACTCAGTGGCATCACGGAGACAAAAGTTATAGGTAAGAAATAGACCCCAGCTGCCAAAAACTATCTACATAACTATTAGTGCAATACTGGTGTTTTATTCACTCATTCGTAGATATGGCTAGCGGCAACAGCTTCAGCTTTAGGAGCTCTCAAATAAATAATTACAAATGTTGTAAAACAAAACCATTTGTACATTATGTTTGTATTAAGTGTTTCAGTGTTTTTCATAAGTGCTGTATTTCAAAATTTAAAAATAGTATTTGTTCTGTTAGTGAAAATAAAATTGTGTGTTGTAAAATGGTATATGATAGTTTTGTGATCAATAATGATGACGAAGAAAAAAGTATGTTAGAAAAAACAGTCAATAAACTTACAGAGGACAGTGTAATAAAAAATAAGTTTATAACAAAATTAAATGACGATAATAAGGTACTATTGGTAGAAATATTAAAATCAGAAAAAAGATATGAACAAACTGATTAAAAATCAAGAAAAAATTATCAATGAATTAAAAAAGCAGATAAGCGACCTCAATAAATAACCACATTTAACTAAAACAAAAGCAGAAACTGTAAGTACACAAATTAATATAATAATTAAGAAAAATGCATCTACAGCAACAAATACAATCTTGAAACAATTAACTTCCTGCACTAAAGCAAGTCTCACTGAGGCTCACAGAACTATCATACAAAATACACAAATACATTGTGAAATTGACAATAGGCAAGAAATTGATGATAACAGAAAACCTCTAGCCGTACTGGGTGGTAACAAAAATGTAACCATACATACAAATAATTCAAAGAATCCTAATAATTCTAGAAATTTTAAAAATAAGGACAATTCAGACGCATTCTTCTACTTATGGACGACGACATTATATGGCACTTCAGGCACTTGTTTTTAACTGCTTTTTATTGATTTTAAATCATTTTTTATATAATTTCTCCCCCTGTGCTTTATCTTCTTTTGTTCTAATGTTTTATCATAAATTTTATTGTTTCTGTTTTGTCCAATATTTATATATTTGTATTTATTTACACCAAGGTTAAATCAATAGGGCTTTATCTTTTATCAACTCCAGATGATGCCAAATTAGTTGGTGAAACGTGCAGTGTTTCTGGAAACTACTTTATATCAGCGCCACTTTAAAGTTTACCTTTGGTGAAATAGACGCAGCACGATACAAAGTTTTAAGTAATATGAACGAGGTCTTTGAGAAGGGTTGATATACAGTAATTAAGCTAGTGGACCTTATTACCTTTGATAGTGTATCTTATTAGCTATTGATTAACAAGACTTTAAGTTTACAAGAATGCCCTCTTTAAATTCAAAATCATTGTGTCGACATTTAAGAGAATAAAACACGGCATATGTCTGTGTTAGATCATCTTGTTTTTATTAATTATTTGTTTTACTATACAATAAAACAGTACACGGATGACGCAGGTTAAAATAAAATTACTGATTTAATAACCCCGCAAATATTTGCTAATGAAACAAAAATCCCTAACCCTGGTGTAAAAATAAATTTAAAAATAACGGCAGAAGCTGTGATAAAATAATCTTTATGTGAAATTTTGTGTAGAAGTAGGTTTTTGATAGTAGAGAAGTATACAAAAAAGTTTTGAAGGCTACCGTGATTGGAACATAAAACAAAATTTCGTCGAACTCCCAAAAAGAAAAAATTAAATATCATGAAGCAGGCAAAATACAAAAAATCATAGGGAAGTTATATTTCGGCTCAGAGAAACCAAGTTTTTAAAAAACGCAATTTTATTTAAAATAAAACAAAGGATGCACGAACGACTTCAACAATTGAATTACAGAATAGAACTGTCGCTAAATGCATTCTACTTATATTTATAAACTATTCTTATCGCCGTTGAAGACGGCACAGTCAGCATTATTATTATGCTTATCGGCACGTATGCCTATGATAACTGGGGTTAAAATTAAAGAGCACA